GCTATTATAAATAAAATATTCCCCCATTTCTATTTCTATATACATATTGCTAGAGTAAAATATTTTTATTGATATGTACTTTATCAATTATCATATGCATTATAATAGGTGTTTTTCTTTTTGGATTTTATTTGTACATAGCATATTTAAGTAAAAATAGATAATTGGTAACTTTTCTCCAATATTAATGTATATTATTTAGATTTATTTTATTGGATTCACTAGATCTCCAACCCATTAAAAATTAAGAGTAAAAGTAAACATTCAAATCTTGTTTCTCATTTTAATAGAAATGGCATTAGTGTTTCACTTGTTAGAACAACGGTTGGCTCCTAGATCTTTGGGTAAATTTTATGACATTTAAATACTTCATTTATATTTTATTTTAATTTTTTAAATAAATGTACTTAATGAATCATTCCAAATGCTTTTCAGCATTCACTAACATAATTATAATTGCCTGCTTAAAAAGTGTTGAAAAATTTCTGACATTGAAATATTGTTGTTCTCTTGTGTTTATAAAAGAATTCATATTAAATGAAAAGTAGCAGATTGAATTCACTTAGTCACAAAACAAGAACACACAATATGTTAGTATGCATTCTAGGAATGCAGAAATAGTTATCTCCTCATATCATTTCTCTGCAAAGTATACTATACATTGTCTTATTTAATTAAATAAGTTAGTCTATATCACAGATGAGATTACTGACACCGACAATATAAGAATACCTCAAGTCTATAAAATTAGAGATGTAACATTTATTTTAAGGTTTGCTTTAATCCAAAACAAATCTTTTAAAATTGTTGAAGAGAAAAACAGCCTGGTTTTAGTGCATTTTATTTAACCAGTGATAAGGTCTCTGAGAAACTCTGCTTTCCCAAAAGCTACCCTTTCCTTCTCCCTGATGCACCCACCTCCAGCTTCCCATGTATTTATTGAGAGTAGAATGATGTGAACAAAGAGTTTTGAGTCCCTCCTCAGGCCAGGGTTTGAATTCTCAGTCCACCACTGCCTGTGTTATTTGGCATAAGTAGTTCCCCTATTTGTAAAACAGGTATAATGAGGATTATGTGAATCAAGTCCCTGTATCACAGCGTTGATTTGAAATTAAAAACGAAATTAAAATAACTATATTTAAACTTTGTACGCATATTAAATTTGAATTAAAACTTTACAACAGGAAGGTTTGTTTAAGCTTCTACCACTTCATTTTATGGACAGAAAACTGCAGCTGGGACCCAATAAGCATTTTTGAATGGACCTTTGTAAATCAGCAGTAGGTGAACTAAACCTGGCACTGCTGGTGCCAGGTTTAATTAAAAAGTAAAATATGTTTATTACTTCACTAAGTGTGGGGAGCAAAGAACCCTCTTTCACTGAACACATCCATATTCGTCCTGTCAAAGCCTGTGTTTGGTGGCTGCTATTACCACTGCTGGCCCAGTAAGAAGCACTGTTCTCTCTCTCTCTCTCTCTGAAAATTGCTCCACAACCACTTGACTGAAAGATTTAAGGAAAAGCATTCTTTCTCCTCTAACAGCATACAGGGAGTACAACTATTAGCAAGAACATTTCCAATTGTAAATAAAATGCAATGGTGATACATGGGAGTTGAGTGAAACTGCTGACCAGTAAATGGTCTGTAAAACCCATTTCTCCAGTTGGTCCTGTTGCTAAAGAAATACCCCCAGATGTGTGCCTGTCCATATGTGTGTGTGTGTGTGTGTGTGTGTGTGTGTGTGTGTGTGTGTGTGAGAGAGAGAGAGAGAGAGAGAGAGAAGAGATTTAAATATTCCTAATAGAGATCATAAATTCAAACACCTAGAGGAGCCAGGTGATAACAGAAATGAGTGGGTCAAGTATACACTCAGAGTGAGTTGTGGGGCCTATGTTTACTTAAGGGGCTAGCTATTCTCAGTGGACTCCTACTGAGTGTAGGCTTAGTATTCCCATATCTTCCCACTTTTAAGATAATGTACAAATCTATATTTTATATGAAATCATCTAATCACTATTTTATCCAGACAATCCTGTCTGAAGACCAGATTTGGATTTTGTACCCTTTATTTTCACAACTAACCAACTTGTACAATACAGAAGAAGGAAGTCTTTTTACATTTCAAAGTATATATGAAATATGTCATAATACACAATAAATAGAAAGTAATTTTTTCAAAACCACACAGCCAGAACATGGCAGATCTGAGACCAGCAGACTTGTTTCCTGGCTGGATTCCTAGCTTGTCTATTCATCTTACCTCCTCCCTGGCAAGAAAAACTAAGTTATCACAGCAGATCATTTAAAGGACATGTAATCCCTAATGGGGTCTTTTTACTCTTTCTTCTAGGGGTTGGCTTCTAAATCCTCATAGCTTTCTGTTTAGCAGTAATCCTGGACTCTGAGCTAAAAAAGGATGGCATAGTCCTAGTGACTTTCTCATTAGGAGGCTCATGGAACACATTAGTCTGGCTCCACTTAAATGCCAGGAAGTGACAGGGGGTCCAGGAGATTTCCAGTATTGAAGTTGTTTGACTGTCTGTTTGACCACAGAGGGGTAAATTCTGTGTCGTGACTTGGCAGTTATCACCTAACAGAATTATGGACCACCCTAAATTCAGAGGGAAGAACTCCTGTCTCTCACAAGAGCACCTTAAGAGCCCTGTCAACAGGAACTTCTTGGCAAGAGGTGCAGAGCGGGGAGTGGAGCCTTCCTGGTGACTCCCCTGACTCACCCCTGCACTCCCACCCCAGCAAAACCAGAGGAACTTCCGTGATATGCTCAATGGCCTTTGGTACTGTTACCAAACAAAAACAAAGCGGGGCGGGGAGGGGGACGGTCATCTGCTTGACACCAAAAGAGTCAAACTCGTGAGGCAGTTGTGGGTGAGAAAGGAAAGGGGTTTCATTCTGGTGCTGCGCCACCTGGCAGAATGGTGGACTCTTGTCTCAAAATCCATTTCCTTAGCAAGACCAAAATAAAAGTCAGTGTCCAGAGTTCCAGTTACAATTTAAAATGTAGTCCTTTGGAGCCCACAGGTGGATGCTAAGCAGTCATCCCTGTAGATTTACTTGTTCCCAGCTGCTGCCTGTTTCAAGCTTTCTCCTGGAGATCATGGGCCATATGGCTGCTATGGCCACAGGGTCACATGATCTGAGGAGAAAGTGTGTGAAGCACCTGAAATGCATCACTAGGTAGGCAAGAGAGGGAGAGAGACTCCCTCCATGGAAAGAATAGGCAGAGACCACCATGAGAGTTCAGGTCACAAGCAAGAGCTATGAGCAAGAGAGAGCATTTCTTTGTTCCCCTGGGACTGTATTAGTTTGGGTGTGGGATGAACCAGGTTGTTTCTCAAAATGCCAATCAACTTCCCAAATTTTGAGGTGCTTCCAGTGAGTCCACCTCCCAGGCTAGACGGACAGGCCTCTTTAGTCTGAGCACCTTCCTTTGCCACTATTTTGACCTCTATGGCATTTGTGCCTGCCTGCCCTCCGTCCCACCCTCAATCTTACACCAGAGGGGCAGGATGGAAAGGCTTTTCAGGTGCTCAATATAAAAAACTTCCCCTGTCACTACCTTGGTCAGCGAGGAGCGAGGCGGGGGCGGGGGGCGGGGAGAGACGCCGCTGACTCAGCCATGTCCCGCAGCTGCCCGGCTTACCTGCCCTCAGGCCTTTGGGCTGCACGCAGAGGTTCTGTCACCTCTGAGTGAACGCTCCGTTGCAGCTGAGCCCGACCACCGCTCCCACAAGGGGGAGGCAGCGTCCTGCTGTTTGCAGTGTCCGCCAGGGTTCCTGCCACCCCGGACCAGGAAGTCGTGCGGACACTGGGCAGCGGGACGGCCCCTGTAGTGATCAGCTGAGCCTCAGCCTCCAGACAGCTGGCTCCGCACCCCACCAGTAGCGGGCCTCGTCCTCCCTGCAGCCCGGCCCAGTCTGCCCAGCGTCAGGCGCTTGGCTCACTGGAAAGGAGCAGGTTGAGGGTATGGGCTTATTCACAGGTAACAGCACAATAATTCAGTTTCTTTTTTCACAGAAACTTCCAGAATTAGTATTAGTTCTCTAATATTTAGTACATAGTTATGCCAGCCATTTCATCATATGTTATACCCCATTTTTTAGACTATTCTTTTAGTTTAATTGATATACATCTACTAAGCACAAACTATAGACATTGTGAAGAGACTTTTAATGTTGAATAATGCACAACCCTTTCCTTGCAGAAGTTCATAATGTCATCAGTGAGAAGACCTATGTGTGATGTTGGAGATATCTGTGGGTCTCCATCCTCTGGCTCAAAATACTGCCAAACACCAATGCCCACCTATAATTTCCCCCCAAAATTGGCTTTAGCAAAAGACATACTTTCTAGGTTCTCCCTTCACATTGCCCCAAGAGAATATTTTTCAGACATTACTGTACACACAACTTCTCTGACATCTTGCTAAAATGCAGCTTCTGACTGAATTGGCTGGCATGGCATGAGCTTCTGTAATTCTAAATCCCTTCCAAGTGATGCTGCACCTGATCAATGCACCACACCTTGAGTAGCAAGAAAGAACACATACTTAGACAAACGTAGATACACTGTAAAAGGTTTAATGTAAATTACAATGAGGAATCTAATAAGGGGGAGGGAATAAAAAGATGCTAAATAGTTGCAGAGTCTTTCAGATTTCTCCCTGTCACAGTTTGGGGCCACTTTTCCTAGCTCCTTCTTAGAAGCTTCTTTGTATTCTCACTCTTCCCTCTTATACGTAAGATGCCTCCAATCCCCCAAACAACAGGGTTCCTAACTACTTTATGAAATGCAGACTTCTTCAAGCAGAAAAGCTATGGTGTATTAGATTCCTGAAGGGATTGAGTGATTATTTAACTAACTAATTAATGCCACTTAAGGACGATGAAGTCAATGGAAACATCTTCAATTTGGATGATATGTTGTCCTGCTCTTAAGACAATTTGCAGCAAAGAAAATGAAACTTCAACTTTTGCCCCATCATTTAGATTTCAGACTCAGTTTTTCCAAGACCTTCACTCTAATCTCCTGAGTTTTTACACAGTACACAATGGGATTCATCAAGGGTGGTACAAGCAAGAATGCATCAGCTATAAGAATCATAGCCCAAGGGGACTTATGCTTGGCAAAGCGATGCATGGTAGCCAAGGTGATGATGGGCACATAGAAGATGAGCACAGCACAGATGTGGGACACACAGGTGTTAAGAGCTTTAAGGCGCTGCCCATGGGATGCAATACCCAAAACGGTCTTCAGGATAAACACATAGGAAACAGCAATGAACACGCTGTCTGACATCATGCACAGTGCAACAAACAGACCGTAGTAAAAGTTAACCCTATTGTCAGAGCAGGCCAGTTTCATAATGTCTTGGTGGAGGCAGTAGGAGTGTGATAACAGGCGTTTATTACAGTAGTTGAGTCTCTTTAAAGTGAAAGGAAGAAGAAGAACTAGGAGAATGTTTTTAATAGCAAATGCCAGCCCAATTTGCCAAATTCTGGAACTGGTAAGGATAGAACGATATCTCAGAGGTCTGTGAATGGCTATGAAACGGTCAAAGGACATGATCAGGAGCACAGAGGACTCCATGTCTGTGAATCCATGGATGAAAAACTCCTGGGCAAAACAGGCATCAGCAGAAATCTCCATGGCATTGAACAAGAAGATTCTCAGCATGGTGGGAAGTGAAGAGAAAGACAGGCCCAGGTCAGATCGGGCCAGCATGGAGAGGAAATAATACCTGGGTTCCTGCAAGGAAGACTCTGTCCTGATGACAAATAGGATGGTGCAGTTGCCCAGGGCAGCCAGGAGGTAGATGAGGCAGATAGGAATGGAGATCCAAATGTGTACATGCTCAAGCCCTGGGATCCCAATCAGTAGAAATGTGGAGATTTCAACTTCTGAGGTATTGAAAGGAAACATCATAAATAGGTCCTTTGTTTATATGTTCCTGGTAAATTATAACACCAATAATGAACAGAAATTCTCATAGTTGCATTTATTAGTTACAACTAAGTACAGTTGTTAAATTAAATACAGCTCATCCTTAGGTGTCAGAAAATAATGGAATTTAAGTTTTTCTGTGTAAAGAAAAAAACATGTAAATTTATATAAGATTTTGTGATATTCATTTAAAACCTTTATACTATTTAAGTCTAACTTCCTTTCCAAATACTTCAAAACAGCTCTACAACTTGGAAGTAACACTGTGCTTCAATAACCTTTTAATAAAACCACCAGTTTGAGATTATTCAAGTGAACTAAGTTGGAATATGCTGCAATCTGGAAAAGTTCTACCATTATTGATATGTTCAATGATCATGCACTCATAAAAGCCACAGAGGCTACAGTAGCAGGAGTGAAAGGAGGCCTAAATCTTACATTATTTCTTATATTATTGTTTATGGTGCATGTGCATGAAAATATAAAATTGATTTACCACAAAGGGCAAACTAAGATGTAGAGCCAAATTCAGCCCGTGGCTTGTTTTTGGACAACCTATGGGGTTAAAAAAATATTTTTAAAAGGTTGTATTTTAAAGAAGATGAAGAAAAAGGAGGAGAAGAGGAAGAAGTGGAAAAAGAAGAAAAAACATGAACATATGTGACAGAAACAGTTTGTGGCCTAAAAAAACTAAAGTATTCGATTTCTGGTCATTTACAGAAAAAAATTTGTTGACTCCTGGAGTAGAAAATTATGCATACAAATGCACATACACACACAATTAGGGTAGAATGAACAGGATGGGAATGGAGTATAAGTAAAAAAGAACTTCAAATTTAAGAGTAACATTTTAATTTTTCATTAACAAGAAACAATATTACATGAAACAAATATATCTGTAAATTTTCCCATCAGAATCATGAAAACAGGTGTTACTCTCTGCACTTTTCTATATTCTTTTAATTCCTTCCCCTCTTAATTGTCTTACACAGCATCACTCCCAGAACCATAAACACCAAAACTCAGAGAGATCTCCAGTACCAAATACAGTTTGCCACAGCTTGACAGTAGCCTGGAGCAAGGCAATATAGAGGAGGAAAGACTTCTCTGAAACCAATTATGATTACCTAAGCCAGCAATTTTCAATCTGTGTGTGGCAAGAATTTTTGAAACATGAAATACCTGACTATTTAATCAGGGGCCCTTAGATTGTCAAATAAAAAAGTGACAATAGCCAATAGAGCAATAGCTGTCCAATGTGAACAAATCAAAATTATAATTATTTTTTGTCAGATTGGCAAAAAGCACAATATGTTTTTTGGTGTGCAGCAGGATTTTAGTAATTAGTTTCTATGTGCCACAAGGTGAAAAAGGTTAAAAATAACTGGCTTAAGTGATGAGCCACCAGGTGGAAGACCACAGCAGGTGGTGAGGAGGCATAGGCCAGGCACAAGCATCTGTCCTTTCCCAGGGAGTTTATGAACATTTCTTGGCAAAGGTAGAGAAAGGAGAGGTTACATCTGAACAGAAGAAACCACATGGTGAAGGGTAGAAGTAGAGAGCAGTGAAGTACTTGAGAAGTTACTACCTTTTCTCTCTGCTGCCCAAATTTTTAAGAGCCATTGCATCAAGTTGACTCAAGGTAGAAAGAGGTTTAGTGGTATGTATAGTGCATCATAAGAAGAAAGGAAATGGTAAGGCTGTATGAGAACATACTCTCCACTCACAGCACCAAGTGTCCATTTTACCTCATCCTTTCAAATGTGGTTAATGTTCCCCTGATCTGTAGCACACATCCCAGCTCCCATTTGTACTTGCTTAAAGACATTGTTTCCAAGCAATTGCTACTGGCTCTGCTCAGAATGGCCATAGCCCGTGCCTCTCTCTCCCTGTTCATGTATCCTTTTCCCATTTCTCTTGGTTTCTCTGTCTGCCTGTTAGATTGGTGACCAGTTCAGGTTCTCTCTGGTATTTAGACTTGTTCCTGCTCACACTCTTGGTGTTGGCATCACTTACCCCTCCAGTAATACTCCTTTTAACAGTTCAAGACCAAAAAACATCCCTCACGCAGCTCACAGTGTACCTTTGTCAGGGGAGTAGGATTCAGGGAGATGGGGAAAAGTGATAGCACAATATCCATTCTTGTACAGTGAGTCCCCTCAAAATGGGTCATTTCTAAGATTCCAGGTCTGAATTTTTTATTGACAAGCTTCCACCTAACTCAGATAACTAAAGAAATGACTTAACATTATTTTTTCCAACAATGTTCATCATGCAAACACAAAGATTTACCCACATGTGGACCATAATCTTTTTCAACTGTCAACCCTGTCTCTAAATGTAGTTTGTTCCCTTAGGCAGTACAGCCCATGAAGAATTTTTATCTCCAGCCCCCTGGAAGGCATAGGACTGATCTCTATAAATTGCAACATTTTCATTGGAAAACATAAAATCCTCTTAAAGGTATTCAGTTTGAGCCTCTAGGACACCTACCAGGTTCCTGGTTGTTTTATCCCAGAGCAAGAGGCAAAGTTTTCAGATGATTCAGGTTCTGTAGCTTCTCTGCTTCCACACCCTGTTGGGAATCCATACCCTAAATATCCTTATTTATATTCTCATACTTGTCTAGGCACATCCTCCTGAGAATTATCCAACATCTTGTACAACATCTGGAAACAATTATTCCACTTGCTTCATCACTGTCAATGAGTGGCTCTCCCATGGAAATGCAGGGAACAGTCTCTGACTCAGTCATAGAACTTAACTCTTAAGATCCTGTTCTCACACCAGGTGCAGGCTCTGAGGAGAGCCAGCCTCCAATTTTGGTAAGGCTGCCTGTATCCATCTGTGGCTCCAAATTAAGTGTCTTCCATAATAGACACAATCTAAGACTATCACAGACTTTATGGAGAATTTTGCCCACATATATGTTGTTTGGTCATCACAATGTCTGATTTTATTATAATATCAATGGATTTAGGCCACAAGCTCTCAAATTTATCATAAATTCCTTCTTTCTTGAGTGTTTTATATCCAGTCTCTTCACATTAATTGGCCACCAAAGGCATTTAATCTCACAGAACAGAAAGGAAAGCCCAGGGTCACAAACACAAATGGTATTTTAGACCCTCAAGTTCAGAATAGAATATTAATTTTTATTCAGCCCTCAACTTTAAATATTGGAAATAAATAAAAGCTGTATTCTGGTGGCATGTCGCAGGAGCATATATTATTATTTTCAGGCAGAAAATAGAAAATAAGATCTAGCAAAACATCTTAGTCCTGAAACAAAGTAAGAATAGGTAAGTAAATCAATGTTGATAAGCCAAGAGTAATGTCTCTGTCTTCAGGTTAATACAGAGGGGATGTGCTTGAGGTAAGAGCTACTACAAACAAATTAGGTCAGGCAGAACATTGGATAAAAGAGATCCATACACTTTTTGACTTGATTTTTCACATTCAAAATATAAGATATAATTCACTGATAAGAGGCAACCAAATATATCATGCTGTTTTTTGGTTAAAGTAAGAGATTGTAGAAGTGAAATGATTAATGGAATTCTAGACAAAATTTATCTCAACTTTTAGGGTTCAGCTAACAGCAACAGTAACTATTTCTGAGTATTTCATATGATATTTTATATTTACACTGGATATAACTCTGCACATAATAAAGGTGAAAATAACTTTATCTATATAATATCCACAGTTGAATTACATAGATGTGTATTTTATTTTATTTTATTTTGAGTTTTTAATTGAATTTATTAGTGACACTGGTTCACAGTGTATCATTAGTGATACAGGTTTCAAGTGTACAACTCAACAAAACATTATCTGCATGCATACTTCATTGTACGCCTGTTGCTCCAACCAAAGTCTCCTTCCCTCCCCATCCTTTCACTTTGCCCACCACTACCTATTTCCTTTTCCTCTATGGCTATCAGCACATTGTTATCTGTGTCTATGTTTTATATGTAACCATATCTACATAAATATACATATACGTGTTTTATATGTATATAATTTTTTTTGCTTAATTTCTTCACCTTGTTTCATCCAGCCGCCAATCCTTCTTCCCTCTGACAGCTATTAGTCTGTTCCATGTGTCCATGCCACTGTTTCCATTTTGTTCATCAGTTTATTTTGTTAATTAGATTCCACATATGAGTGAAATCATACAGTATTTGTCTTCCTCTGAGTGGATTATTTCACTTAGCATAATAATCTCCAGGTCCATCTATGCCATCACAAAGGGTCACAAAAGTAAGATTTTTTTCTTTTTCTTTTCTTTTCTTTTCTTTTGTTTTCCTTTCTTTTCTTTTCTTTTTTAAGCCAAGTAGTATCCCATTGTGTAAATGTATCAAAGCTTTTTTATCTACTCATTTATTTATGGACATTAGGGCTGTTTCCAGATCTTGCCTATTGTAAATAATACTGCAATGAACATAGGGCTGCATATATTCTTTCAAATTGGTGTTTCGGGTGTCTTTGGATATATTCCCAAAAGTGGAATTGCTAGGTCATAAAGTAGTTCCATTTTTAATTTGTTGAGAAAAGTCCATACTGTTCGCCACACTGGCTACACCAATCTGCATTTCTAAAAGCAGTGCACTGAGGTTCCATTTTCTCTGTATATTCACCAGCACTTGTTTGTTGATTTATTGATGGTAGTCATTCTGATGGGATTGAGGTGACATCTCCTTGTAGTTTTACTTTGCATCTCTCTGGTGATTAGTGATGTTGAGCAGTGTTTCATGTGTCTGTTGGCCATCTGTATGTACTCTTTGGAGAAGGATCTATGTAGGCCTTTTGCCCATTTTTTAATTGGATTGTTTGTCTTCCTGGTGTTGAGTTGCATAAGTTCTTTATACATTTTGGAAATTAACCTCTTAATAGATTTATCATTGGAAAATATGTTTGCCCATTCAGTGGGTCCCCTTTTCATTTTGTACTGTGCAAAACCTTTCATAGTTTGATGTAGCCCCACTTATTTATTTTACCTTTGTTTCTTTTGCCCAGGAAGATATAGCTGTAAAAATATTGCCATGAGAAATGTCTCAAATTTAACTGCCCATGTTTTCTTCTATGATTTTTATGGTTTAGTGAGTTATATTTAAGTCTCCAATCCAGTTTGAGTTTATTCTAATGTATGGTGTAAGGAGGTGGTCTAGTTTCATTTTTTTGCATGTATCTGTCCAATTTTCCCAACACCATTTATTAAAGAGACTGTCTTTATCCCATTGTATATTCCTGCCTCCTTTGTTAAATATTAATTGACCATAAATTCATGGGTTTATTGATGTGTATTTTAGGATTCACTCTATAGTGTGGATATTTTGAAAGCATGCAGAGAATCAAAAGATTTAAGAAAAAAAAATCCAATTAAGTGAAGTGCTTTTTATATGTCATTCAGAAAAGCATGACTGGCTTATTGATAAATTTTCCAACATTAAATCTGGACTTTTTGGAATTATATGCGGAATCTGAGTGAATATTGTGATCTCTTACTGCTTAAAATATAGATGATTATATATATTATCTCACTTTATCTTGAAAACAAAATCATAATTCATGTTTTATTAATATGTTTTATTAGTAGAAGAAAATTAAGCAAATATATAAGCAATAGATGCATGGTTTGAAATATTGGAGGCTGTTGGGGGTAGTTGCTGTATTCTATCAAAGTACTCATTAATAAATGGTCTTATCTCTGAGTCAAATAATGATTATATTTGGAGCTGCTTCTGAATTAGGACCTTGACAATAACCTTTCGAATCTGCTTAGTCTTCACACTATAGATGATAGGGTTGAGCACAGGAGGAATGAGCAGGAAGACATTGGCCATGATGGTGTGGACAAATAGAGGTGCTGAATGGCCATAACGATGAACAAGAGACAAGCTGATGAGAGGGATGTAGAAGATGGCAACAGCACTGATGTGGGATATGCAGGTGTTGAAGGCTTTCTGCCGCCCCTCTGAGGAAGCAATGTTAAGGACAGATCGGATGATCAGGACATAGGAGAGCAAGATGCAAGGGCAGTCAAATCCTGTCGTGGAGAAGAGAGCAAACAGGCCAAGGATGCTGTTGATTCTGTTGTCTGTGCATGAGAGCTGAATGAGATCAACGTGGTAGCAGTAAGAATGTGAAAGGACCATAGAGCTGCAGAAGGACAGCCTCTTGACAAAAAGCACAACAGGCAACATGACAGCAACATTCCTTATCAACATGCTCACCCCAATCTGGGCAATCCTTGCATTGGTGAGAATGGTGGGATATCTCAGTGGGTCACAGATGGCCACAAAACGATCAAAGGCCATGGCCAGCAGAACCCCAGACTCCATGAAAGTAAATGCATGGAGAAAGAACATCTGAGCAATGCAGGCATTTAAGTTGATCTCTCGAGCTTCAAACCAGAAGACACCAAGAGTAGTGGAGAGTGTGCAAAGGGACAAGCTCAAGTCTGTGGCTGACAGCATGGAGAGGAAATAATACATAGGCGCATGGAGACTCTGTTCACGGAGGACCACAAACAGGATCATACTGTTCCCAGACAGGGCAATGACGTACAGGAGACAAAAAGGAATGAAGATCCATTCCTGGGCTGCTCTCAAGCCTGGGATACCCGTCAAGAGGAAGATCAAAGGCTGAGTATTGGTATTGTTGAGAACCAACATAATTAGGGGCTGAGAAGACAGGGATGGTTGAATAATTGAACGTGACACATAATGAATATGTAGATTATCACTTAGAAGATCGTTGTGGCATTCTGAAGCTCACTGAATTACTATTGCCGATAGTAACCTTCTCTCCTAGGCTCTCAGTATTTCTCACTTGTTGAGAAGAGAGAATTCCCTGAATTATACTACATAAAAATTTCATAAGTCTATAAATCTCTTTGGTGAAAACAAACATCATGATTAAATTATCCCTGACGATAAAAGTTCCCAGTAGATTACATAAATATAATGAGGAATCTGGTTTCCAGTGTTTCTTAAAATAAATTATTAATCTTAGCATAAAACACCAAAAAATCAAGTCACATTTGAAATGTAGATATTATTAGGTTTTCCTGGGGTATGTCCAGAAAAATGCCAAAGACATCCCCAAGACACACATGTGTATATATATATGATAACAGTCTAGTCCAAAGAACCACTCTAAGAAAAATAAGTATAGCTCCTATGTATTGAGAGTTCCCTGTGTTATTTACATTAATATGCATTATGAAACTTTATTCATATACCAACTCTAGAAGGTAGGTAGTAGTATATGTGTTTCATATATGAGGAAACTAAGACTTAACAAGTATGTAATTCCCCAAGGTTAGCTCTGTATAGCACTGCCGCATGGTTGAAAGAAACTACATATATAACAAAAAGGAAGGAAAGAAAGAAAAAAGAGAAAAAGAGTAGAAGGGAAAGAAGGAAAAAGTGAGGCAGAAAGGCAAACATTGCCATTTTTTTAACTTGCAGGACCTCAATGTCTTCATTCAATAAAACTAAGGCATGTATAGGAAGGATCTGTATACCAGTCTGACAAACATTCCTGACAGGCAGTTTCCAGATGTGTGCTTTCAAAGGCCCATTGTGTTCAATGTGGCATCTTTGGAGTCAAGTACTAAATTTCAGATGTTAATTCCACACATATAGTGCAAATATGAGGAAGTTCTTTAGGTGTTTCAGGAGAAAAATTGCATTGATAGTCTGTGCAAAGGACCGAGGGAATCAGGCTACACCTGAGGACAGCAATACTCAAAACTTCCAAATTTAGTTGACCCATTTATCCAACACTTACATTAATTATGATACTGATGATATTTTCCTTCAAAAAATTTTCTCTCCCTGTGTTATACAGCACTAGTCTGTGTTATTTTTATCCTGCCATCCATCAATTTCTTTTTCTGGCTTAATTTTGTCCCCAAGAACTGTAAATATGAAATTCTTTAAGGATCTGCCCTTTGTCTGCTCTAAAACATTTAAATAACTATCTTGCCAATTTTCACAGTTTCATCTTTTTACCTATTTAATGACAAAATTCAGAAAAATATCTGAAAGCCAGCTCTGGTTTCCAGGTTCCTGAAGTCAGAACTTCCTTCTGGACATTGACATACAACCTATAATGCACAAAACAGGAGAGAATTATTCAGCCCAAAATGTCAATAGGGCTGAGGTTGAGAAATGCTATTTTAGAGCATATAAAAACATAAAAAGAAGTTATTCATCTAGTTAGTTATGCTGACATATGCAAACATTATAAATAACATTTTAACAAGTCAGATGTAACTGTGCTCTTAAAGAATATTGCACTTTGACACAGTAGACTTTATCTTATGAATGAAAAAATATTCAGCCTAAGAAATCTATCAATGGTATGACTATGTTACTAGATTAAAAAAATATGTATTTTTTCTCAAGAGAGAAAAAATCAGAAAATTTAATGGCAATTCATAGTCAAATTCTTAATATTTAGAGAAAAAATTAGTTCCCAAATAAAAACTATCTTCCAGAAATGTGGGGCAAATATATTTACTGGTGGCCTATTAAAAGAATTTGTATTAAAATCTGTGACAAGATAAGAATAACTATTATTGCAACTATTATTCAACAATTTATGGAACAGTTTCAGTAAATGAAAAAAAAAAAAAGACAACCAAGTAAAAGGAAATAGTGTTGTTTTTGAAAGAAAACAAGTCTTTTTTTAGATTTTAATTGATTTTTCACCTGAAAAATTCAAGAGAATAGATTGCAAACTCTTAAAATACAGTCTAAAAAAGTGACCAGATAGAAAATCAGTATCACTATCAGTATCAATATCAGTATCAAATCAAGAACTATTCCTGTTTACAAAAATTACTGATACAGAAAATTTACTGATACAGAAAATCAGTATCAGTATCGAATTAGGAACTATTCCTGTTTACAAAAATTAACCACTAAGGAAACTTTATAAAAATTAACATTTCTTCCACAAAACTATAAAAAATGTTGGTATAACGAAAGTTTGTGTTTGCAACCCATGGACATGGACAACAATAGGGAATTGTCTTAGAGTGGGGCTGAGTAGAGGTAGAAAAAAGGAGAAAAAGCAGAAACAGATGTAATAGCATAAATGATAAAAATAAAACTAAAAAATAAAAAGTCTGTGTTTGGCAGGGAAAGGGGAGGTCTGTAAAATTTACTGCTAAAGGAAAAGTCCTTTACTCCTTTCCTGAAAATAGGAATTTTCAATAGTAAAAAAAAAAAAAAAAAAAAGTGAATTCTCCCAATAACACTCACACAAATTTAAAATACTATCAACCAATAACACAAAAGGGGGTTTTAATGAATAGTGGCAGATGAATATTAAAATATATTAAAACATGTAACTATATTCAGTATATTATTGAAAATAATAAGTGATGTCCTTTGATATGTAAAAATGTAGTATAAGGCTATTATAATTTAAAAAAATATAATAGTCAAAGGCTTAAAAAATATATCCCAGGAGAATAGTTTCCAAAAAAAATGTAAAAATGAAGATAAAGAATATGATCATAATGGCATTTTATGTTACAAAACAAACTGATATGTGATAAATGATGTTTGGTCAATTGGCTAACAATTTATAAAAATATAAAAAAGGTCTTTATTTTCCACATTTCTGCATTTGGATTAAAAATTTCAAGGCAAAAAAACTCTATAATAATATTAGAGTAAGAGAAAATGTATTTATGACTGTTGTAGGGAATCCCTTCTTAAATAAAATGAAATTATAGCCATTAAGTAAAATATTGATACATTATATTCCACATATGAGTGAAATCATATGGTACTTGTCTTTCTCTGACTGGTTTATTTCTCTTAGCATACTTTCCAGGTCTATCCATGCTATTGCAAAAAGTAAAATTTCCTTCTTTTTATAGCCATGTAGTATTCCCTTGTGTAAGTGTATCACAGCTTTTTTATCCACTCATCAACTGATGGAAAACTTGAGCTGCTTCCAAATCTTGGCGATTGTAAATAACACTGAGGTGAACATAGGGATGCATATATTCTTTTAAATTAGCATTTCAGATTGCTTTGGATATATTCCCAGAACTGAAATTGCTGGGTCATAAAGCAGTTCAATTTTTAATTTTTTGAGGTAACTCTATATGGTTTCACTTATATTGGAATCCAATGAACAAAATAAATTTACAAAGTGGAAACAGACTCATGGATCTAGAGAACACACTGACAGCTGTCAGAGGGGAGGAGATTGGGGGCTGGATGAGAAGACTGAAGGGATTAGGCAAAGAAAAACAAGAAAGATTCATGGGCATGGACAACAGTGTGGTGATTACCAGAGGGAAGGCGGGGTGGAGGGAGGTAGAAGTGGGTAAAGGAGGATAAATGTGTTGGGAGGAGACCTGACTTGGAGTGCTGAACACATAAGTCAAAATACAGATGATGTGTTGTAGAATTGTACACCTGAAGCCTATGTGATTCGATTAACCAATGTCACCCCAATAAATTCTATTCAAAAAACAAATTCAGTATTTACTAATTATGTAATTTTGGGAAAATTACTTAACTCTTTACAGCCTCAGTTTCTTCATTCAAAAAAAGCTGATACTTACAGAATGGCTGTAAAGAGTGAAAGAAATAAAAACTATAAGGTGTCTGGAGCCCCCAAAAATATTGATATGGAAAACTGCATCAATCTTAACTACTTAGTGCGAAAGTTATTTGTAAATGAAATCAGAAGTGCAGCATGCCATGCACACATTAGAAGGTCAAGATCAGAAAAACAGTGCTGCTGCCTTTGCTTTAGACTAGACTGGGTGTCTGTTTTTGCCTGATGATAGTCTGTGGCTTAAGAGACCCTTTGACAATCTGTGAAGTTGTTGAGAATAGCAAACAATAACATTAAATAGATTTCTGTGTGCATGGGTTTCGGTCATGAAGGAACTGATGGACACTGGGATGTATTATTCTAGTTCTCTAGGTGAAGGTATAAGTCCTCGCTCTCACATTGTCAGGAGGCAGGACCTTGTATACCTTTTCCCATTTAAGATTCCTCATCTGTAAACCTTGGACTTTAAAAATCTCTCTGATCTGCCTATTTCTAGCTGTTTCTGCAATGGTCAAATGTGAAGATGTATTTGAAGTCCTTCTTTCTAAGTATAAATGAGTTCTCTTAAGAGAGTTATTAGAAAGCTCAGACTAAGAGGATCTTGTAAAATGGTGGAGCTGATGCCAAGTGAAAGAAATCAGAAAGCTTTTTTTCTAGAAAATACGGTTATAGAAATCTGCCAAATTTAAAAGCTGTGTGAAACAATAAAATATATAATATATGTCCAATTTGGGTAACACAGAATTACAATATACTCTTTCTTGACTTAACTGGATTTGACCTTTTCTCCTGGAAAGAAATATTTGTTTGCAAACTTTTTACTGATCTCTCACTAATTCTCATAACCTTCAGCTTGAGCCTTTCACTCTGAATCCCAATATTTCTACATCTCTCTCTGATTTTTATAGTCCTTTGCTTCTAAGTACCTGCTTCCCGCTCCCTATCCCTGCCTCTGATCTATCTTTTGCCCTCCAGGTTAGCTCTCACCCATTCCTGCTTCCTGGTCTGCCATTTCTGGCCCTAGCATCATACCTGACTCCTGATAGAAGGAGAGCTGCCTTTCCACTCTCTGCTCAGCCAAGGACACATGTGGGTGGCTCTTGAACATGGT